CCGTGGGCCGCACGCGGGGGGGGGGGGGAGCAGAGCGGAGCACGTGGCCAGCTGCGAGTTCCGCCGCTTTGCTTCCTCTCCCTGGTCTGCTCGAGACCAGGGAGAGGAAGTGCCCCGTTCGTAACTGCGGATCCGACATAAGTCGGATCCGCATAACTCGGGGACTGCCTGTACATTGGTGGCTCCACAGGGCTGGATGGCATATGCAATTTGAGCACAGGAAGGAAAGCTGAGTTAACTGTCTTTGAGAACTACTCCTGTGTCCAACTTTTAGGTAGGGCAGGGCCACTGTGACAGCAAGAAAAATGAGGACTCCTGCAGCACCATGAAGACTAACAGATTCAGGCATAAGTTGTCATAGGCAAAACCCCACTTTGTCTTTAAGGTGGTACAGGACTTCTCGTTGCTTTTACAGCTATAGAAGGAAAGCTGAGTTAACTGTCTTTGAGAACTACTCCTGTGTCCAACTTTTAGGTAGGGCAGGGCCACTGTGACAGCAAGAAAAATGAGGACTCCTGCAGCACCATGAAGACTAACAGATTCAGGCATAAGTTGTCATAGGCAAAACCCCACTTTGTCTTTAAGGTGGTACAGGACTTCTCGTTGCTTTTACAGCTATAGGCCAACATGGCTACCTCTCTGATACTGGTGACAGCAAGGACATTCAATGCTCTCTCGCTGCTTTTCCAAAATCCACAACACATTTGATTTCACAGGGCTCAAGTAACTTTCTCCACCTGCACTGTTCTTCTCCTCTTCCTCGCTCTCCTGCCCTGCCCCATCACACACACACGATTCAAATAGGCCAAGGATGGGAAACTTGATAAGCCGCGCCAACACATTTGATTTCACAGGGCTCAAGTAACTTTCTCCACCTGCACTGTTCTTCTCCTCTTCCTCGCTCTCCTGCCCTGCCCCATCACACACACACGATTCAAATAGGCCAAGGATGGGAAACTTGATAAGCCGCGCCCCCCATGCTCTCAAAGCGCCGCCAGCCAGCACAGGCGCGGGATGAGCACCCAGCCCCGCAGTGCTCTCGAGCTGTGTCAGAACGAACCGCGCGCAGCTGCGGTGCCACTGCCCCAAGCCCGGGCCCCCCGCCGCCCCGGCAGAACGGGCTGGGAAGGGATCACGTGATGGCCCCGGGCGGAGCGGACGGGCCTTTGCCCTGGGCCCCTCGAGCCCGGCGCCCGCTCTCCCGGCAGCGCCAAGGCCGGGGGATCCCGGGGCCGC